ATCAGAGGATGAATATTCCAGGCAAAAAGTGCTCTGTGTGAAGGCATAGAAGCATTAATGATAAATTCCAGGAATAGGTATTAACCTGCCATGGTTGGATGATACAGCACATAGAAAAGGAAACGGTGGAAAACTACGAGGGGGAAAGGCAAGGCTCCACAGAAATGGTAATGTTTGGAATGGGTTTGAAGGTTGAGAGTAGAGTTTACCAGTCAAAGAACAGAGAAGAACTTTCTGGTGGTGAAAAGAGCATATAGAAAGACAAAAAGTTATAAATGTATGAAATATTTTGAGGACTGGGTGCTGTTACTGAAGCCCTGAATTCAAGGAACCACCTATACCATTTGGAGATTTTAAGTATGTCTAGGCATGTTGGTTAAATTGGTGAAATAGAACTTGAAGTTAGTTTGAATGAGAGTTTTGGTGAGAAACGGAAGCAGTACATGAGCCCCAATGGGGAGAGTCTTGTAGAACAGTCTTATCTGTGTCTTGGAGGGATGTACTCAACACAGACCCTGCACACTGGCAATTAATCCCTGAGAAAAGGGTGAAAGTAGTATGTGAAGGATTTGTTTCTATGAGAACTCTGTATAGAATACAAACTCCCAGAATGATTTGATCACTGCTTTAATATAAGGTGACATTAAAGTAATATGGGGTGAGGCATTTTCTCCACTTATTCACAGAATAAAGTGCTGCTGAGAAACAGAGGATTACAAAATTCCAAGCACCACCACCACGGTGACAGCTGTAGGCCCTCAGAAGAAATCCCCACCACCAATAGCACAGGAGGTGTGTGGAGATGAGGACAGTGAATGGGCTTTTTTTTTTTTTTTCCTAGCAGTGCCTATCACAGAGGTAGGTGTTGGGGAAGAAAATCATCTTTTACTTTCTTAGGTGTAGTGATAGTGACCCATGAATTAAATTAGCAAAGGATGGATTAACAGAAGAAAAGGCACATTATTTTTATGACTATTTACATGTACAGAAGTTCACAAAAAGGAAGTAAAACTCAAAACTGTGGTCAGACTTAGGGGCTTAAATACCTTTTAACATAAGAAAGAGGATTTGCACTTCAAGGGATGATAAATTATGGAGAAGTTACTAGGAAATAAAATTCCCATGGGGGAACTGATGGGAGATAAAAGATTTGTTTTTACAAACTGATTCGGTGTTGACTTCCCCCCTTTAGTGATGAATCACTCTTCTCTCCTTGGTACAGGGGAAGGGGGACTGTCCTCAAAGGGAAATTTGTGTCCTGAGTCAAATAAGGAAAGGGCATAGAACTCTTCCTGCAGCTATTGATTCTCATTTGCCTTTAGTTCAGAATAATCCTTATGCCAAGTGGCAATATTTTTTGAGTGGCAAATTCTTCAAGTCATATTCTTTGACTTTTCTCCAATAGTTAAAGCAAAAAATGAACAAAAGGGAAGGTAACATGAGAGTAAGCAAGACTTTCTGTTGAACCCATTTGAGATGATCTTTGGTGCTTCCTTGGAATCATAGTGGGGCTAGGTGGGTGAAGAAGATGAGGTTGGGGAAAAGATCCTGCAAGAGGAGTTGATAGAGAAAGCCTATAAACTTTATCTCCATTTAGAAGACTAAATTCACAAGGCTGGATGAAATCTGGATGCAGCTAATCAGGAAAAGGGAAGAGAGCAAATGAAACCAAGATGTCAAGGGAGGTGGACCAATATTGGGATTTATAGCTCATCATTCCAGAAGAAAGTAAACTGGATTTATAAGCTAACAGATCAGTAGGACTAGGTGTACCTCAATGTAAGGGGTTGGTAAACAAAGGCTAAAATTTCATCTAAGTTGTGAGTCAGGAATTTTGAGTTCTGGGTGCACCATAGGGGAATGGCTCCTCACTCATCTCAGATATTAGGTTAACCGCCATTGTCCACTATCTTCAATTTTTCCTTTCTATTGTATTTCCCCCATATTTAAGAAAAAATTGCTTTTCTTTAACCTCATTTCCTTCTCTAGCTACTTCCTTCACCATACCTCTTTACACTCTGCAAACTCTTCTCCATAAAGAGTTGTTCTGAGCTGCTATCTCCAATTCCTCATCTTCCCATTCACTTCTACAATCCACTCCAACTAGGCCACTGTTCCAGTCACTCCAACAATACTTACTCTTTTTTACTAACCCCAACACATAATTTTGTCCGTATATGTCCTTATATTATTCAACATCTCAGTAGGAGTTGATACATTTGAGTCCTCTCTTGAAGCACTCTCATAGTTTGATTTCTGTCATCGGTCACATTTACCTGATATTGGAGGTTTGAGGGAATTTAGTCTGCATCAACATGCATGACAAAACTCTTCCCCTCCTCTTTATACACATTTTTTGTATAAAAATGACTAACAGAGGACCAATATTGAGTTCCTTTTTGAATACATGTCAACAGCATAAAGGGAAATGGTCAAATTTCAATTTCATGCTATCCTTGAATATCTATGATCATTAACGAATGCTCATTATGTACCAGACACCATTCTAATCACTTTATATGTGTTGACTAAAGTAGAACTCACTATAACTTTGCAAGCAAAGGGTAATGGTACTACTATTATCCCATTTTCCAGTTGGGGAGACTGGCAAACAGTCGGCAAGTGAAGAACTGGCTGAAAAATCCAGGTAGCCTGACTGCAAAGTTCACACTGTTAACCTCTATGCTATGGTATGAGAGGGGTATCAAGAGGACTGTAAAACCACCAGGCTTACCCATCACATGTTACCCAGTCCCAGGTCAGAAAGTCAATTACTCACAAGACTTGCCGGCAGATGACTTTTCAAAATTAAAATTTTATTAATTTAAAAATCCAGAAATACAGTGACTACATAAATAAGTACCATATTCAGGTACATGTCCTGTGAGAAGAGTGTAAGGGTAATACTGTTATGTTACTCTTTACTTGTTTACATGAGTTAACTAGAAAATGGTTAAACTGCAAGATGGTGCTTATGGTCTTTGTTGTTCCAAGGGTTTATGATACAAATAAATACACAAGAAGAACCACATCCATTCTTCTCTACTAACTACAGCTGGCCTCTTTTCTCCCCTTTTTCTATGTCCTACTCCCTACACAACACCAAATACTGGGGTTTCTAAGTTGACTTAACACAGCTCCCAGCTCATGCTTCCGACAGCACTTTGGAAAGGTGTGTCCCAGCACTGGGAGCCTATCTAGGGAAGCTCTCTGGTGTTCCCTTAAGGCTGAGCTTTCAGAGAATATCTGGGTGGGAAGGCTGTAGGGGGAATCATCTAGAAGGGAAATCACCACTTTTCTTTAGGATCTGGTTACTGGCCTCCATGCTATCGAAACACTGCCACCTCAGAGAGAGACAATGGCTGCCTAACCACCCCTTCCCCCACCAGACACACACAATATTGTGTGGGGCATTTCAGCCCAGGACGCCCTACTTCCCATTCCTAAGGGGAATGTGTGTGATGGGCTTGGTAAGGGCTTGTTCTATGAAGTCCTGGTCACAGGGCCCTTGCATCTCTTATGAGGACTGACTGTTATGCCAGGATGCCATCAAGACTGGACCTTTTATGTTTTACCCTACCAGTGTCAAAACACTAAGGAAAACATATTATCTCTCCTATGGCCATGGAATAGGAAATAATGGGATTTCTTGGTCTTTAATATTTCAAAGTACTCACTAGAGTTCATTCATGTTCCTTAGAGGAGACAAATCCAGAGGGACAGCTTGAGATCCTTGCTGTGAAAAATTTACGTTTCCCAGAAAGATGATTTCTAAAGCTGGATCTCCGAATGGATAATTTATGTTCTGGTATTGGACTGCAAATAGACATTTTAGGAGTAGCCTTCCCTAGAATCCTCAATTCAAATCCACTCTCCTTAGTAGATAAGGCAAGGATGATAGGGGGGTTTAATCTAAAGATCTTTATCAGAATTCTCAGCTCCCCAAATGCACAATAACTCAACTCTCTTAACTGAAGAACCAGCATTCAGAAGCTCATGAGGGTTGAGCCTCTTTGCAAAGTAAAAAATAAACTCCGGTAACTTCCCTTTTAAGGAGCTTCTACAACTTAATAACTCCACCTCAATTTTCTGGCTAGACAACTATGGCCTTAAGAAAATTAGTATCACTCTATTAGTGGGTGAGTTTTATTGCTGTGAAAACAAAAATGACCTATTTTATTATTATCAATTCCTTTCTTCAACAATTGCTTTGTCTCATATTGATTTAGTTTCTGGCAATTTTACCTAATTCTAGCTTCTTTATGGAGACTCCATATGCTCAGGGAGAAAAGAGAAAGTATATCATTAGGGAAAATTTATTTATCACTTCAAAGTGATTAAGGCCATGACATAGTGCTCTTATTCTTCACCTTGCCACTATTGTTGGTGACTTCAATGGCCACCTCAAAGGCCTAGAGGCAGAGCCTTTTTCTTCCAATTCTTTTTTGTTCTCCATGGGTACCAACACTCTCCAAGGTACTTCAGAGCCAGACTAAGGAAAGAAGGGCAGAGTCTAGGCTGGCTTTGCCTCAGAGTGGACACTGTAATTTCACATGCGTGTGGTTGTAATATGTATGTGTTCATGCCTGTGAGTATGGGATGTAATGTTTTTATAAAGAACAAAAGACATTCTGAGATTCAAAGATTATAATTTCATACAAATAATTGCTCTAAACTCCAGAACTTCTACTAAGCAATTCCCTTCTCTTTCTTTCATTTGAATAACTTTCTAGATAGAAACCCTGGGGTTTTGTTAGCTCTTTAACCTGCAAAGAAATGTGATTCTCCAAGAAACTAGAGCTGCAGTGTGATCTTCAATCTCCGCTCCTCCCATTAATCATTCAAGACTCTTTGAGTCTCTTTAGAGAAGATGTTTAAGGGCTGACACAACACTTCACATAAAGGAGCAAGTTATGCTGTGCATGGCATGAATAATTGACTGCATCTGAGTTTGGGGTTTGAGGGCACTGTTGACTTAAGCAAAATAAGCCGGCAGTCCAGCTGCAGCCTGGGTTGTCTTGCTTGACCCTATCAAATACTGTCTGTCTCACCTAACAGTGGCCCTTTTCAGACCTCTCCAAGTACAGAACCTTGACCAAATCTTCAAGTTCTGTTCTGCACACACGACTTGAACACATCTGGCTGATCTGAGCTTCTCCTTCGGTGAATATCTTCCACTGGCCTAAAAGGGAAACACACAATGTCCAAGAGACGGTAAGAGCAGAGCACAGCAAATTTAGAATAGAACCAATACACACCCCCATCCTACTCATGGACCCACCAGGAGATCTGAAACACAAACATACAAACAGCAGGTAGTATCAGCAAAAATGGTCCCCAAAATATCTTTCTGGGAGCAGATATGGAAAACAAGGCATGAAATTTTTACTTCAACACATGGCATTTGTAAGAATCCCAAGAATAATACATAAATGCCTCCTTAAGAGTAAAACCTAAGAATTTTAGAGGGAATATTTATAGTATATTTAGCATTTGCAAATGCTCTACTATCTGTTAGCTATTTAGGAGGTTCATTTGGCACCAGGTCAGAAAAGGCACCGTGGAAAATAATACCTACTACATTACTAGTGCCTTGCTTAATCTTAGGGACCTTACATACTGTTGTGGATTACTGGATTATTTACCAACCTTTTCTTTATTCCTGAAATGTTTTTGTCAAAAGCCTTTCACTTCTACTTCCTTCATATTCACGTGTTGTTCTTTGTAATTCCTCAACCTCTTTAAATTCTGTCTCTTGGCTCCTTACAGTGTTTCATTCTCATGTCCCCATATCCCTTTCTACTTTAAGTAAACTCAGCTATATCCCTTCATTCCCGTTGTCTCTGCCCACTCTGGAAATTCTCTTTATTCTTCTTATTCCTGATTATGGGGATGATCCTGGAGAATCCCTAATCCAAGGTCAGAAAGCTCCTCTTAACCCCAAACCTATTGTGAAACTCTTGCTTTCCTTAGCTACAATTGAACATGACTTCCTCCACTTGAGACCTGATGTCGTCTTTTATCCTTTCTCTCTTGGATTCCTCACTTTTCCCAATTCTCTCTGATTCAATGGGAAGTTAGAAGAGAAAAAGAAGGTCTAGGCAAGCAACCAGGCTCTGCTAAGTGCCCACTGTAAAGGAGTTTGGTTTATTTTTCTTTGTTCCCAGGTGACCCCATAGAATCATCTCAATATCTGTTTCCTTTAGATGCATACAGTTTGAAGCAAATACTATCTACCTCCATTGTACATTCTAAATCCTAATTGCTAAATCATCTTTTAAGTCCCCTGGAGCCGAGTACAGTACCTTGCTAGGTACTTAAATACATTCTTTGAAATTAAATGGTAATTTCCAAAGTCACATCATTGATCCTCGGATGCTAGACTGTGCCTCCTTTACTCCTTACACACATGTAAGGACTCCCACCACTTTCATTCAAATTTTTATACTATTCATTTAAATTTCTATCAGTCCAGCAGAAGACTTTGGACTTAATTAACTCTATTTCCAGCTACCTATTAAATAACTGTTTTCAGATGATCCTCAAGCATCTTAATTTAAACATGTTCCAATTGATGGGAATTTAAATTAGTACAGTCACTATGGAAATTAGTATGGAGATTAAAAAAAAAAACTATGAATGGAAACACTCCATATGACCTAGCTGTACTATTCCTTGGCATTTGTCCAAAAGAACTAAATTCAGCATACTATAGTGATATAAACGCATCAATGTTTATAGCAGTGCAATTCACAATAACCAAGTTATGCAACCAGCCAGATGCCCATCAATACATGAATGGATAAAGAAAATGTGGTGTGTATGCCCAATGGAGTTTTACTCAGCCATAAAGAAGAATGAAGTTATGTCATTTGCAGGAAATGGATGGAAGTAGAGAGCATCAGGTTAAATGAAATAACCCAGACTCAGAAAGTCAAGGGTCATATGTTTTCTATCATATGCCAAAGCTGGGGAGGAAAATGGAATTTCATGAAGATAGAAGACCAGTAAAGTAGAGGAAGGGGATCAAGTGGAGGGAGGAGTGGAAGGAAAGTGGAGGAACTGGGAAATGAAACTGACTGATTGTTATGTGCATATAGTTTGTATGCCACAATGAATCCCACTCTTCTATATAATTATTATGTACTAATAAAATCTTTAAAATATAGACACAAGAGTTTAGCTATAATATAGCCTGTATATGGACTCTAATAATAATGATAATGATAATGAAATTCGTATCTTCCAAGTGAAACACACATACTATCTATCTTTTCTACTTAATACCTGCTATTCTTAAGAGTTTCCTATGGGTACATGGAATTACTATTCTCTAAGTCTACGGAGTTGATAATATTGGAGTCACTTCTTTCTTTGACACTTATCTTGTTGATTTAACCTCAGAAATGCCCCTCATAGGAAGCTCTCCTCCCCTGTCTCACCAAATTAAGAAAGAATCATAGCTTCCTAATTCAGACTGTTGCCAGCTCATTCACTAATAGTTCACTTCTCACTCCAACATCAAGGACCTCTGCCTAAAAAACAGATCTGAACACATTCACTTGCTTAAGTGCTTCCATGGGGGTTCTTTGGCCTGTAGATCAAGTCTAACTTCTTAGCACAGAAAATTGAACACTTCTAAATCTGGCTTCATCAAAATAGGGGCTTAATGAATCTATCCAAAAACCCAGAGACATCTTTCCAAAGCACCATTTTGATACCACTCGGCTGTGTATACTTTGTGGCAACTCCCTCAGTTACCTGTCCTACCTGTGAACTTTTTACTGGCTTCTTCTAGGCCTACTACTTCCTACCAATTCTTCTCATCTTTCAGTGCACCCTATGTGGCTTTGTGATTGTTCCTCACCCCCACCCACATTTCTTGTTTGCTCCTGTCTGAGGCTTCTCTTAGGCTGCACCCTCTTCCTGGACTGATTTCTTGACCTGGTGCCCAGTCACACCCTTCTCTTTCAAAACACACCTCCTCCCCGAAGTCTTCCCCGACTAAGCCCACCTGGCTCTCATCTCATTGTTCTTTGCAGATTCCCCTGAGCACTTAGGTATTTAACTCCTCAGAACTATACTAATTCATGAAGGCATTTTCATGTTCTGTCTCGCCCATTAGAATTCCCTGTGGATAGAAATTTTGTGCCTTTTATTCCATTAGATGTGCTCCCCACCCCACCTCCCCAATGCCTAGCAGTATCTAGTCCCTAGGCTCCATCTAGTGTAGAAAGTGGGAGAGTTGCAAGCATGTTTGAATGCCTGAATGCTTTTAAAGAAACATGACCACCCAGGGACATTTCTGAAGAAGTCAAAGAGCTTCGATACAACACAGGAATTGATATACATTCCTTTTTTCCTCTCATCTCCACCACTAGGGAACATAACCTTCCAGATGTGAACTGTTCACAATTATACCAGACCTGGAATATTGGGAGGCTTTCTCCAACCCTCTTGAGACTTTGGGTTTAGCAGTTTCATAAAAGATATTCAGGGATGCTTGACCTGAGGTAGCTTATACTCACACTACATCTGGGTTTGTATTCATCATGTCCAAGCTTTTCAGTTCACATTCAGAAATCTTATTTGCTTATAAGTCCCCCAGGGAAGAAATTGAGCATCCTATAATTTTAATACTGCACATTGTTAATGTTCACTGGGAACACAGAGGGACTACAGCTGTAGCTATACTATAGTGAAAAGCTGGATGCATTTTTCAGGGAGGAATAAAGAGAGGTACCACTTACTCATGGTTGTCCTGGTCACCAGCTTGAAATGATGGAGCTCCTCAAACATCCTTTTGGAGATCTTCTCAATGTGGAAGTGCTGTAGAATGCCTGGGGCCGAGCACAAAGTAGGGCAGGTGGTCAGGCACTCTCTATGAGCATATCATCTCATTACTGGGGCTTAGGAGTATCGAGCTAGGCTGTGTAATGTGCTTAACCAGGAACTTGGATGGCTCAAAGGTTATAATTGACTCCATTTGTTTCCTTGGCTCACTGGCCTCTACTTGGCTTCTCTAGGGAATGGAGATAAGGGAGATAGTGCTGCTGACCACAGGACCTCCTCCTAGGGAAAGCCACATGGAATCAAGCATGGGTGCTGGTTGGAGCTTCTGCAGCCAAAGGCAGTATTAGAAATTCTGCCTTTGCCCCAGATCTGGGTAGACTACTATATTTATGCCAAACCACTGGGCTGCCCTCCTGGCTAAACAATGAGAGCCAACAGTAGGATAGCAGGCAGGTTATTTGTATAGATGGAGAAGCCATTCCTGTTCCTGAACTCACTGAAGAGCACATTTATCTTTGGGAAATATTCACAGCTCCTTTAGCCTTTCTTTATTAAAAGTAATAGGGAGAGTTAAAATAGAGTAATCTGCAGTCTCAACCTGGCCTGGGTAGCTTTAATCAGAATAATAGGTAAATAAGTGAAAACTGCTTATTAGTTAAGCAGCAACATGTCCCTAGCCCACTTAAATAAATCCTCAAGAGGTCTACAGGGGGCAAATGAGATTAAGTCTGAGTTTTTCTCTGATCACCAACACAGACCTTGATGACCCAGCACTGTGAACAGGAGGCTATTTAGATGCTACACTAGAGAGTTGCAAACCATCCACATATCTTAGTGGGGAGAGAAATATGAGGTGACAAATACTGGGCCTACTGCTGGGGAAGCCAATAGACCAGTGCCTAGATGACCAGTTATAGACCCACTATGGAGTTAAAGATGGAAAAATTGACATGCCTAAGTATAAAGCCAAAATAAAAATGGCCAAAAAAGCACGTGCATTCTAGCATATTTATTTTATTTTCTTTTTTTTAATATTTATTTTTTAGTTTTCGGCGGACACAACATCTTTGTATGTGGTGCTGAGGGTCGAACCTGGGCCACACGCATGCCAGGCGAGCGTACCACTTGAGCCACATCCCCAGCCCTAGCATATTTATTTTCTAAGGGGTGAGGAAGAACATACTCTTCAGAGAAACAAAGGCTGTTATGAAAAGGGAGAGAAAAAAAATCCCCTTTTTAAAAAAAGTATGCAAGCAGTATTCCTGAAAGTGTGGTTCAAGTGTCACCTGCATTATAATCATCAGGCTATGTTTTAAACATGTAAATATTTAGGTCCTACCTAAGGACTGCTGAATATGCACCTCCAGGATAGGGCCAGATAGCTGCATTTAAAACAGCTCTCTGAATGATGCTGAAGCACACCAAAGGTTGAGCATTTTCAAGCTTTAAATGGGAGCCAGTAGCAGGAGGATGTGTAAAATTTTCCAACACTTGTGTATAATATTTTACACTTGGATTCCTGGAAAAGTTGACCAGACTAGATCAATACCAGCCTTATACCTACAGAATGGTGTGAAGAGCTGTAGGATCTCAGTGAATAGAATGTGGCTTGTTATGGTTGTCACTGTGAGTAATCAGAAAAAGAACTGGACATCATGACTGGGATTGTTTCTCCATAGAGTCTATAATCTTGTCAAGTCAGTGATGATGTTTTTAATTTCATACCCCAGAACATACAACATAGTTCTAGGGACTTAGCTTCACACTGAATAAATGGGTTTCCTGTTTGTTAAGCTTTGTATTGGAGAAGCAGAGCACAGTTTGGTAGTTTGCAATCCTGGCTACAGATTAGAATCACGTGTGGAGCTGGAAGAACAAACACTGATGCCCAGGCGCTACCAAGACCAACTAATCAGACTCTTGGGGTAGAGCCCGGATATTTGATATTAAAACAAAGCAAAATAGAAAAACTTTCCCAGATGATTCTGATATTCAGCCAGGATTAAGACTCACTCCTTCAGCTTTTGGTGGCATGAGAAAGACCATAGGAACAGCAAGGGTTAATATTAATACTAATCTTTAGCACAGACCATGGTTAAATATGAAAAGCCATAATGACAACTGTGTTAGACATGTCAGTTTCTAAGTAATCAGAAAAACTTCTGATTCAAACAGAGAAACATGTTGAAGCAAAATTAAGATGAGTCTTTCCTTCCTTCTCTGCCCCCACCTTACAAAGACAAAAAATTAAGGTTATCTTGCTCACCCTTTCGAATGGTCCAAACATGGACCTCTACCTGAGGTGGTCTCTCTGTTTCCAGTGCTATTTTTCTGGTAGTCTCCCCATCCTCCATGAACACAGACTCATACACAGGCATTGTTTCTTCTCCACAAAAGTATCCTTTGCTGTCAAAGTTTTGGCCTGGAAGTTCTTCTGGAATTAGGGAGCAAGTAGAAAAAGTAGAGTTTTATCATGGGTTTCTAAAACTCAAAGTGAATTTGTGCATTTACCTATCTCACTGTTAGCTATAACACCTTAGATAATCAACAAGAACATTTTTACAGAGACAGATTCCACTCATATTTTATTAGCTCAGGCTACCCTTTAGCAATCACCAAATCAGAAAGCAGCATGCAGCTATTGATTGAAATCCACATGATGACAGAATCCATAGTTGTATAGAACACTGGCCCACCAGCTAAACTAGATCTCCTTACCATCATCCTTGAGAAACGGACTTTTATGAGGAAAAAGAATATAGCCAGGTATAAATATCTTTGGCACTAAAGGGAACATAGGATTTTCCATACTGGATCAGGATAATTCTCTGTCCAGCCCAGTGTTGCCAAGAGAGGCCCAGGGAATGGGCAGACAGAGGGCCTTGGTTAACTTCCCTGACATCATTTACGTATACTTAGAAAACATTCATGACACTCATTTATGTGCATATACTTGCCCAACGGATCTATCCAAATTGGCTTGACATTTCTGAATGCTCTTTGATTTGTTTGTAAGGGGAATGATAATACCGGATCAACACTAGTGCCAAAACCTAGATGTCAGATTAGTCATATGCATGCTATGCCAAATGAATGGTTAGGAGACACAAAAAATTGGTCAAATCCCTCAACTATGGATCATTTCACGTGTAAACTAAACTGCTGGATTTTAGCTCCCAGGCATAAAGGTGCCAGCCCCCTAATATGTCCCCATTCTACTTCACCCTCCCCTACCTCAGCCCTCTTCCCCCAAAAGTTCCTCCTGGTTGGTTATCAGTGAGTTAAGTTTCTTTGCTAGCTTCGTAATCAGCACCCTCTTCAGCTGTGTATTTAAAGTGTACACTCAAATCAGGAACAACAAAGAGAAGCCTTAGACACCCTGAAAACTTTGAGTATGTGCAGAAGCCATCTGTAAGAATGTCTGAATTGTCGAGGATGAACCCGCTGAGTGTTGAGTGCTTTGGAGCTGTGACTCTAATTGGGGAGACTCACTGTCAGCCAATCAGACACATTTGGACGAGAAGTTGTAATCAAATTGCTATTGTATGTCTCTTGCTGACCTGATTAGCTTTCCCACCCCCACCACCATTTGGCACTGTAAGGACAAAACTATCATCTTTTCTTGACAATTCCAGGTTGGATTAGTCAATTTGTGGATTATCTCAGAATCCAGCTTCCTTTCTCCTTTTGTCTTTCTTTTCAGCTAATTAATTACTTGGCAGCCCAGTCTTTTTGGTGATATGTTAAGCAATTAAAGGATGTTTGCTAGCACTTTCCAAATGGGTGGAGGGAGGAGGTCACTGAGTTTACAGGGACTTGTATGTGTACAACTATCACCTTTAGAACAAAAGATAAGTTCATTTGTTAAACTTTGCTCATATCATTGGCTTAATATTGGCTATGGCTATCACTGATGTATGAAATTCATGATGTCACTGGAAATACCTGTAATATGCTCAAAGTCCTTGCAGTATACTGAAGAGTCCTTCTACATCACCACCCTCTCCCCTCCAAGAGCTGAATTTATTAGACCAAAGAGATCTACAAACAACAAAAGCCATTAGTGACTCAGCCCTGGCTGGCACTTGAAAATACTAAAGGAAGCAAAATTTGTCTTTAGAAGGACCTATTCAGCAACATCTTCCACTTTCCATACTCTTACTTGAAGGTGCTTTCTGACCACTGCATGCTCACCTTACTTTTATTTCCTTCTGCCAGGCATGCCACATTTGACGTCATTTCTGACTATTCCCATTTCCTGTACGAATGCTCTTGTCAGGAACCCTCTAGAACTATGAAATTAATAAACCATTCCTTATGGAAGTGGTGACGACTGATGAAGAAAATATGTGAACTCAGTTCAGGTAAGTTTGAAGTCACAATGGGGCATTTTATGCCAAAATGCAAAAGGAGTATATAGGGACTTTCAGGTATCAGGGTGGCATAACTTATGTGAGAGGTGAGTTGAGGAACCTTCAGGAAGTTGAAGTCTTACCCAACCCTGTAGGTGACCACTGATGTGCAAGGCAAGGCCAGCTTCTCCCAGAGTAAAGGGAAGAGAGACAGGTAAGATACATCCTTTTATTTTGGTCCTTGTTCATTACTGGTAGAGTCTGCAATCAGTTGTTGCAATTAAACTTTTGGCTGGATTATTAGTGAATTTTATTTCTCTATTTACTTTATCAATATAACTGAATACACACTTCTTTTTCCTTAGATCTTCTTCCCTCTTCACTCCCTTGTTCTTTTTCCTCTATTGTCATTTGTCGTTTTTTTAAAGAGGCTCACAATGTCGTGAATTTCCCATTTCTCATCTCTTCACATCATAGAGGACTCTACTCAAATATTATCTTTTTAGAGAAATCAGTCTTTGGAAAGTGCTTCCTACCACAGTCACTATCAGTCCTGATCCCATTTGGATTTTTTTCACAGTGCTTCATCACAACCAAAAATTATTTTATTGATTTGGGTTCACTGTCTTCTCCACTAGAAAGTGAGAATCGTCTCTTCCCTCAGTGTTTATAAGTTTTTTTTTTTGCACACAGTAGGCACTTAGCACATATGTCTAGATCAGATGTATACAGAGAGGCACATCCCTTGGTGTTCTGTAGTTGCTGAGTACCTGGAACAGATGCCCTATGTCATGTTACTGGGACAACGTGACTAGCAGGGATGATTCAACCTGGAGACAATCATGTCTGGCCCAGGGAGAAATACATCACCCAGAATGGGACAGAAATTCTCTCCTTCCATGTTGCCAAGTCAATCTATCTCCACACATCTGATCAGGATAAAAATAGGAAAAGCAGGCCTTTTAGAGAAACTGGTTTAGTCAATCAGATTTTTCAATATATTGCCCACTAGCATTTTGCAGGCCAGGTTTTTCAATGTCTATTGATCATTTTTTTAAAAAAAAATATTGGTACTTTTTAGTAATACATAATAATAGAATTTGTTTTGACATATAAAAAATATGAGAGCATGGAATATAATTTGCTCTCATTCAGTCCACAGTAGTTCCAGTTTCCCTCTCCTCCTCCCTCCCCTATTCCCTTGTCTCTACTCTGCTGATCTTTCTGATATCTATCTATCTATTTATTTATTTTTAAGGTAGTGCCTTGTGAATATACACGAAGGTGAGATTCACTGTGGTATATTCATATATGTACACAGGAAAGTGCAGGGCAGTTTTTAAAGTAATGACTTCTATTATCTTTTCGAATTTAGAAACACTACACATTTACTACTGAAAATTTAGAAAATACAAACAAAAAAAGAAATAAGAATTACCCATAATTAAGTTACCCACAAATGACCAGTGTAAACATTCTGCCACATTACCTTCCAGTTTAAAAAGTCTAAGCATATATGAGCATATTTATTTATATATAAATATAATCTAAGCATATATATGCATATACTTTCTTTTTAACACAAAAATGTGTGACCATACTAAACACTTTTGTAGCTTGCTTTTTGTACTTAACATATGGCAAATAACTTTCCATGCCATCAATTCTTGGTGTACAATTATTTTTAATGGCTATTTAATACTACATAGTACAACTACACCATAATTTCAACATTCCCATGATGGTGGATTTACAGATTATTTCCAATTTTTCAAATCCTTCTTTGTATATTTTTGTGTATCTCTGATTATTTTCAGAGGACACCTGGGAGTGGAAATGCTTATCCAAATATTTTAGTAAACATTACAAACCTGAGAGGAAAACTATTTGAAAATTAATGCCTACTTTGTATACTGTTCTCACAACTTTTAAGTTCTTTTCCTTTTTGTTTGAATCACCAACATCAATAAAATCCTAAGCACACAGTGAAATGTGATTTGGTCTGGAGGTCTGAGATTCAATTGGAATATTATATAGCAAGAGGGTTTATTTTATCTTGGGTATTTAGGTAACTATTATATTTTGTCTGAAGTAGCTTCTATTACTATTTAAACTATAGATGTTAGACCCTTGACAGAAAATTATGTTGGTGGAACTACAAAGATGACGCTAAAGATTTGGAGATCCAGTGAGACCACAGATGTGGAAGTCATAACAGATCACCATAGTTGGATGACCTCAATATCCATATCATCCTTAGAATGAGGTTTCTCTCTCTCCCCCTAATAAATACATTTCATGAATTCTTATCCCTTCTTTCTACTCTATGTCAGTTAGTTCTTATCCTTCCTATCCATTCCATGCCCCATTTACTCTGGAAGATTGGGGTCATTATATTGAGGAAGATTTTGTTTGTGCCTTAAATTAGCATCTCAAAGTTTAACATACAGTAAATTAAAATCAACTGGGGATCTTGTTAAAATGCCAATTCTGTTGTAGTAGGTCTGCACTTGTAACTGGCTCTCAGGTACTGCTGATCTACCAGCCACACTTGGAGCGTAGTTCCCAAACTGTCTGCGCGTTAATATTACCTGGGGATCTTTAAAAATTTCCAAAGCCCAAGACACACATCAAATTGATTAAATCATAATCTCTGGGGATGGGACACAGGTATTTTTAGAAGCTCTTGGGGGATTCCAATGTGAAGACAAGTTTGGGCACCGCTGGCCCACATGAAAATGCTTCATTAATACACATCGACTAAGTGCATGTTTGCCTGTTAGTAAAGAGGGATTGCCTAAAGTGAAGGAATGAATGATTTAGCTCTCTGCCTACATTAAAAAAAATGTTTGGTTTCTCATCTGTGTTGATACAACTTATTTGTAGAAGGCATGAGAAATGAGAAATTCATGTGCCTGGGAGTAGCTACTTCATTGACTGTAGAATATTAGAACTGAACAGACTCTAGGATATCAGCTGCTCTAACCCTCTCATTTTGCAGAAAGGGAAACTGAGGCTCAGAGAAGTTGTTACTTGGTCTCAATCACACAGGAGACCAGTGGCAAGCCACAGTTAGAATACTTGATTACTCATCTCATATTTTGTCATTGCCAGGACTACTGATTATGTTTTTATTTAGCTCATGTCTTTAAAACAAACCACAATTTAAATAATTACTTTGCCTTTTTAAAAAATTAGTAAACATTTTCTGCTGGAGAAGACAATACGGCTGAAGTTGACCTGAGTTACAGGCCTTGGTCTTTTTGTTTATTTGCTTGTTTTTTAGCTTGGCCAGATTTACTTTTTAGTTATTTATTTTTATTGGTTCGTTTTAGTTACATATGACAGTAGAATCCATTTTGTCTTAATTACACAAGCATGGAATATATCTTGTTCTAATTCAGATTCCAGTATCTCTCCTTCCCCTCCCCTCCCCCCTACTCCCCTCCCCCATGCTTCTCTCCCCTCCCCTTCCCCCTACTCCTCTCCCTTCCCCCCTACTCCCCTACCCCCTACTCCCTTCCCTCTACTGATCTTTCTACCATTTACACATAGTGATCTGTTTTTATTAATTTATTGTGGGCCTTGGTTTTTGTTTTGTTTTGTTGGTACCAGGGATTAAACCCAGGGGTGCTTAACCATTGAGCCACATCACCAACCCTTTTAATATTTTTATTTAGAGACAGCATCTCACAGAGTTGCTTAGGGCCTTGCTAAGTTGCTGAGGCTGGCTTTGAACTCGATCCTCCTGCCTCAGCCTCCTCAGCAGCTGGGTTTACAGGCATGAACCACTGCACCTAGCAGGGCCTTGGTTTTTAATATCAATTAGTTCCATGACTTTGGTGAAGTCACTTTGTACACCTCAGTTCCCTTGTCTTTAAAAGGCAAATAATATAATTATAGGATTTTAGTGTTGGGAGACAGGGCAAGAGGGGAGATAGAGAGCAGTTAGATAATAGGTGCCAAAATACAGGTAGGAGGAATTGGTTCTGGTGTTCTACAGCATAGTAGTATACATAATTAAAAGCAATTTATGATGTATTTCAAAATAACTAGAAGAGTCCAAAGGTTTCCAATACATAGAAATTATAAACGTTGGAGGGGGTAAAAATGACAATGACCCTGATTTGTCCATTACACATTTGATACATCTATCAAATTGTTATAGTATGCCCCATAAATAAATACAAATATTATGTCTCATAAAAAGAAAATGCAAACACAAAAAAGAAAAGAAAGGATCCTAGAGATCAATTGTTCTAACCTTTTCACATGAGGCTGATGAGGCCAGGAGTGGATATGGCACATTTTTAAAGTTACACAATAACTTACATTTGAAGCTGAACCTGGTCTCCTACTATCATTCATCTATATTTCCTCCTACCTGAAAAGTGTAATGGATGTGACTGTGCTTTGATGAGCTAAACAGTAATAAAATTAAGAGGTTCTACTGTTTTTCCTAACAATTATAATAACCTAAACTCTCTGCTATTTATAAAAGCAAGAGTAAATAAAGCACTTAGGGCTGTCTGGGAGGTGTGGTAGACACGAGGAAATCCCCAGTATATCTCAGAGTAGTAAATTTCTTCTAAGTAATCATCTTATCAGTCCCTCAATTGAAGTTAATTCTTACTAGAACTATTATCATTAGAATTATATGACAGGTTAATTATGTTTCTGATGCCCAATGAAAGTTGAGAAGAACTATGTGTGGATCTCAGTCAACCAAAGGCAGGGCCTCCAACCAACGCACCTTTTGCCTTTTTACCTGGACACACCTTGCAGCACTTTCCATCTATTTTTTGAGGATACTTGCAGGGATATCGATTGGGGCAGTGGATTTTCTTACACTCTTGCTTGGTGACATTACAAGTGCACAACACACACTCCACAATGCCAAATGCCCGGAGGTTTGGATGCCAGGACTCGCCATGAGAATAGGTCTTTCCATTGGAAACACACACTGGAAGAGAACATAGGACTCAAAATTAAAGGCAAGGGAGCTAAGATGGGTTCCTAGGCATGCAACCCAAGGCCTAAACTCCTTAACACATGGAGCATCCTTTGTTCTTGTCATGGGCATGGAGATACATTTACAGAGCAGTCTGTGTGACCAAAGCTCAGCTTGGGCCACATTCTACCATCATTAGTTATCCAGGTTCTTCATCTGCAGTGGCCTTTGAATGCTCACAAATGGCCTAATACACATAGGCAGATAGTGAACATTTTTCAAATATTTATTTTTTTAGTTGTAGTTGGACACAATACCTTCCTTTTATATATTTATTTTTATGTGGTGCTGAGGATGGAACCCAGGGCCTCACACGTGTTAGGTGAGCATCTACTGCTGAGCCACAACCCCAGCCCTAATGAATATTTTTAATGCAGACATAAATGAACACATGAAAGTGGAGTTCTATCTATCCTGAGCACCTGCTAAAGAGTCTACAGTAGAATGTGGTATTAATATCTACAGTGCCATAGAAGATTTATATGGCACAAGTTGATACATTTTCAGGCATGAAATTTCCCAAGCAAATGTGCTGATGAGGGAGGATAGATGCAAAAACTACTGCTGTTCCCAAAGGGCCAGTCTCTTCAAGACCCTGAAGCCAATCCATTCAAAATTTCAAATAGTATGAGAGTCTGATCCACCAATATGGGTGGGTATGGAGCTTAATGCTGCTTGTCCACTCTGTGGTGTGGGAAGGCAGCTGTTAAGAAAAGACTGAAAGGGAAAGGGCCTATAACTTGTGAAGGGGTGGTTTTTTATGACTCTAAGCTTCAGGAAATTTCCTCAGTCTCCCTCCTTGTAGTGGCTGTAGAGATTGGCTACAGTGAATTACTGCCCGCTCCACAGATATCCTTCATCACTCTGGCATTTGTTGAGTGGGAAGTATAGTTTGTTTCTGAAGGGCCTTGAAAGACCAAACACCCGGGCTGCAATCTGAGGTGCCCGTGAATGGAAAGGGTCACAGGAGCATCTTTCCATGCGAATCAACTTAAAACTTATTAGGCTCCTACGGTAAGCCATGGACTTAAGCCCCAGGGAACAAAAAAACTGTACAGGTCTGTGAATGGGGGAATTCTGAGAATGAGTTCTCTCCCCTTTATAAAGTGCTGAGATTGTGGAGATTTCAAGCTATGAGTGGGTCTGAGTATGTTTTTCATTATTCCCATCACCTCATCACACCAAGAGAGACCTGTCGGCATCCCAATCAACAACATCTCTAGGGTGGGTTGTATCACTTTGGGTGGGGTTGGGGGGTGAGAAATAGGCCCACTTGGGGCGTTTCTAGGAATTGACTGATTTGGCTGCAAGACAACAGCTCAGGATGAATCACTGGGCTATTTCTTTCTCATCAAGTCCACTGGGTCACATTAAGAAATATGAATGATATTGGCTGCCTCTTACTGTCCTTTGCAAGAGCTGCTAGAATGCTGGGCACTCTATGGGGTCAATCCATGTAAAGATTTCCAAGAACCTCAACATGAGTCAGAATAGAGACTTGGTACCTAAACTGGGGCTTAAGGCTGTAGACAGAACAACAACAACAACAAAAAACCAGACCAGATGTGTTATTCTCTTGCGTGCCCTCACCTCTTGTTTCTCCTCAGAGAGTGACACTCCCTTCTAGGTAATGTGGGCAAGTGCATATGTAGTATGCTTTAAGAAAATTTAGGCTGGATTCAAGTTCAAAATGGTGGAGTACTATTGCTTCTCCTCTTTGGTTCCAAGAGGGAACCAATAGATATATCTGAAAGGACCACATTGTTAGCAAGAGGGCTAAGGAGAAGGGTGAGCACATGCTGAGGAGCAAGGCAAGAAAGGCCTCTCAGTATCATATAGCTAGGTTCCCTCTCCTCTAAACATGTGGAGTAAGGGAATAGTCCAGACTGGGTAAGAGCCCACACTCAACAGTGGGATATGATGAGGTCAGTTCTCTAGAGGAAAACCCAGCCTTCTCCCCACCAACAAATTCTCAAGATGATTTTCAATCATCCAGCTGGGGAGTTGGGAGCTGGGGGTGGACACAAGTGATTCTCCAGTAAACTATAACAGAAAGGTCAGAAGAGAACTGCTGCATCCAAGTCAATGGGCGCAGATGAATAAATGTAAACCAGCTGGAGCTTTTATAGAACACAGAGACAATCAAGGGATGAGCCTTACACTGAAAATGAAGAAGCCTTATGGAAATTATGGGATTTAGGATTTTTAAAGTCCATTTCCCCACACTTGCTTTAAGGCTTTGAAATACTTTCAAAGCAAATGAAATCTACTAGGGGAAATTTGGATTGAAAAATAAAACTGCATCTTTACTTAACTCCTCCTCATTTCATAAACTGGTATCAAAATGCTTTAGAACATAAACATACTAAGTTTTGAATCAAACACAGATCAATAGCAAATATTTCCAATTATTTTAATACATCACCATTTTATTAATAATCTTATTTAGACTATTCTTTTAAGCCTGTAGGTTTCAAAAGCAATTTAATTTTTATCTGTAATCTGAAATTTACATCTAACTAGTAACAGATGTGATCAACTAGCTTTGGCTTGAGGAGCATTGTTGAGATTTATAGTAGGGGTTCTTTGTAATGGATTGTTTTTCACCCCTGTTATTCAATCATTTCGTTTAATAATTTATTACTTTAACTCATTCAGAGAACTGCCTTTCATTTGTTTTTCCTTTAAAGGTAATAAAACATGTTTGTGGTTTGGTAAAAAGGAACCAGCTGAGCTGTTAGTTTGAAGAGCTGGTTGACAGGATGCCTAAAAAAGTAAGAAGCAGTCAATTGTTTGATTGAATTTCTCCTCCTCCTACCTCTGCTACTGGGGTTGGATCAGTGGAGGCCAGATAATTCAGTAAAGGAGAAAACAGGCCCTGTGCATGTGTGTGGGTGCTTGCTGCAATCACTTGGTCAGTTGAGTGGGCTGTAGGTCAGTGTTAACCTGATCAGTTGTCCTGGTGCTCAGCCAGGTGGTTTCTGGATTTTCCCTAAATTACTCATTTCTCAAGACAATCTCATATGCTCCACATTGAACCAGAATTTCTGAGCATGGGGCCTGGAATATTTAGCAAGAGACCCAAGAGAATCTGGTTTGCACTGAGGTGTGTGAACGGCTATTTCTAAGGTGTGGATAAGAGCTTCAGAATGTTTGGCACTTTCAATGTTGGGTGCCCTACTGAATGAAGACCCCAGGAATTTTCTCAAATGATCCATGGAGGCAACTGAGAAAGCATGGGGGGTGCTGTTTCAAAAGCACAAAGGGAATTTGTCCACACTCCTTTAGCTGCATTGAGGGAAGTCCAAAGATTACCCTGGAGTCACTTGTTCACAACCACTTTTGTAGACTTCTGAGTGACCCACATGCAAATATGTGCTGTTGGTGGGAGAAAGGGTCCTTACCGGCTTCAGCCCTTAAAAAAATATGTGGCTGTAGTACAAAAGGAGGATGGTCCCTTACCTTGTCCGTGCTTGTGTTTGTTATTGATGACAATCTGCACGATGGTCCCTGATCCTTGCTGGGAATCCATAAGAGCTCCCCGGTGACTCCTAGCCCCTGGAAAGCGAGACAGACTTCCAGCCTGTCGGTTTGGTGGAGGATCATGATGAGGGCGGTGGTAAGAATGTCTCTATAAAATGATAAGAACACATTTTGTACAAAAAAATCCTCCAACGAAGTGGCACAGATTGAGTTAGATACATTAGATGACATTTGATGATTCTGATTTTTAGTGATGAACTCAGATCTTAACTGCATGTTTCCCTATACCAACAGAAGTGAGAATGTGATCATCTGAAAGCAGCACTGGCAATGTCTGAGGTTTTTCTCTTTCCTTGCAGAAGATCAGACTAGATTCAGAAATAAATTCCTGAGAGAAAAAACAACCAAAAAGGCTAAAAGTGTCTTTCCTGCTCCTCAGACTCTCAAATTTTCCAGTTTCAGGGTTAAGATAGTAGTCCACAACACACAGCAGAGGTGATGAAGGGCACAGGAGAAGTCTAAAATGCTGTGCAAATCAGGAGAAGAAAGAGAGCTGCTACTCAGGAGGGTTTGTGACCTGGGCCATTTCGGGTGGGTAGACTTTTTACAGGCAGTTTCTGGGGAAAATTCCAGGCAGAGGTTTCCAAGTTGAGAAGGTGTAGCAGAGAACATAGAGTCCATAAAAGGGAACAGCTGAAGGATAACATTCCAAATGGGGGTTGGTGCCGGATCATGGAGGACTTTAAATGACAAGCTAAGGGGTGAGGACTTTATTTGGTAAATGATAGAGGTGGGAGTGTGGAACCATTTGAAGGAATTTTTTTTTAATGAGAGAAATAACTTGATTACAACTGTGTTTCACAGCATTGAACTCTGATTATGTGTAGGGTAAACTAGAGAGGAGAAGGTGGGAATCAACTACAGTCTTAATAAGATGCACTGAGACTGTAAACACAGGCAAAATGGCATAAGATCATACAGCAGGCCATTTTATAGACAGCACAAGACAGGATTACAATGCAAACTCCAGAGAGTCAAGGATTTTGTTTTTTCACTGCTGCAATTCCAGTGCCTAGAATGGTGTTTACCATCTAGAAGGTGGTCATCCAATACCTGTTGAAAGAGAGAAACTATGATCCTTAGGAAAGCTCAGAGTCTTGTAGTATAAATAATCTAAACATTCTTTGTGTATGTGTGTGTGTGTGTGTGGACTGAAACCAGGGGCACTTTACTACTGAGCCACATCCCCAGCCCTTTTTATATTTTATATAGAGACAGGGTCTTGCTAAGTTGCTTAGGGTCTTGCTAAGTTGTTGAGGCTGCCTTTGAACTTGTGATCCTCTGCCTCCCCAGTTGCTGAGATTACAGGCATGAGCCACCATGCCCAGCTCCAAGCATTGTTCTTTCATCAGGGGTTCAAGACACATGGTGAGCTCACTATCCTTCTACCTACTCTTCTCCCAGGAGTTGTGGCAGGCTGTGAGTACAGGATTATACAATGGGAGAAGAATAGAATCTTAAGGTTTAAAGCCTTTAAGATAAATAACATTAACTGTGTTATGAGTGAAGGAGGGGAAAACCTATTTAAAAATCTTTCATAGGCAATTAAAAGGGAAGATCCTTATATTTAGTGATAGAAATAGCAGGGAATGTTGGGAAGATAGTTATGGGGTCCTTTGACCCCACCATCCATTAAAAAAATGATTAAAGTTATGTACCACAGACACACATGTTGCAAATTTAGCTTTGGGAACTAATATTGCTCTCTTGGCAGGAGGAAGGAAGAGTGAACAGGAGCTAGAGTAAGTGGACCTTTTCTAGCCTTTTGAAAGAGAACATTATTATCTATATCTAAAAAGAACTCATTCTGGTGCATTGTTATAAAAATTCACACACATCAAATGTTACAAAAATTTGTTATCATGCACATGAATAGGATTTTCAGAGCAAATATTTCTCATTCCCACAATGGCTCATATGTTGTTTTTTTTTTTTTCTGCCATAATCACTCACATTCCACAAAGGCCATTACAGATCGTTCTGTCCTTTCTGTAGTTTGGCAAAGTTTTGCCAAAGTAACACAGAAAAGAAAGTTTGCCTGGTGGGTGTCCGACTGATGCTAAAAGAAAGGAGTTCAACAGGGAGAGAATTAGAGGGAAGGTCACTAACCCAGGAAAAGTTGCAAGTACAAGAAGTTCTCTGATTCATAATGGTGAGCACAAATTGAAAAGCTGTTCTTCAGCACCAGGAACTGGTAGGGTGGGAAAATGATTTGAGACAAAAAAAAAATCTCAAGGATTTTTATCAGAGGCACTGATGTAGACTAGTAGTCTCTCACAGTTTCACCTTGTTGTATTTTGTTTTGCAAGTAGAGAAATTGAGGCCAGAGAAGAGAGGCAATTTATTCAGGATGACAGTGAAGGTTGAGTTTTTAGAAATGGTAGGAGAGTAAGAATGGGGGAAAGCAGAGAAGATGGTGAACAAGAGGAAGAGGAAGTGGAGAAAGAATGGTCCACAAACATTTGGCTAAAAGCTGCTCCAAAAAGAACTTCTTTCAAAATAGAGCTCTTTCAGCTATAGTGTTCACAACCACTGGTTCTCCAACTTGGCTGCACAGTAAAATTGCCTGAGAAGCTGTAAAAATACTGGTGTCTATACATGGCATAATAAATACAACTATTAGGTTTAATTATAATGTACTAATAAAACTTTTTTTTAAATGCTAGTACCTGGATCCTAATTCCAGAGACTCTGAAGTAACTAGAATGAAGTGAGGTCTGGACAGTAGGATTTTTCTATAAACCTCAGGAGTCTCTAATTTAAAGCCAAGATGGAGAATCACTGACATGGATTTTCTGTTTGGGGTCAGGGGTGAGTAGTGATGGTGTGTGGTTTTGATTTAATGGTTCTTTTTGAGTTGTTCTTCTATACAAATGAAAAAGTCTTATCGAGGGCCATTCTGACTTTGTAACTTTGAGTAAAGGAGGAAAGACGTAAATACCTTGGAGTTGTAAGTGAAACTGTGGCTTATCATAGAAGTCGGTTGCAATTAGGCAACATGCAGAGGCTGCTTGAGAAAACAGGTCAAAATCAGTTCATTAGAAATTACCATCAAGCTATGCTTTGTTGTATTTTGCTCAATATTTTGGTATGTCTGGTTTACTGACTTGAAAGACTGAAAAAAATTTTAGGTTTTTGAAATAGGCTCTAAAACAGTTATTTTCTGGTGTTGGAAAATACCCTCCATTGTAAAGGCTCCCCAGGATTTTTTTCTTCACTTTTCTCAGGTTTAAGACATAAGAGTTGGGAAAGTATGGGTCAGGGAAGGATGCAGAAAGATCAATTAATAAGTACTAAGTTTGATCAGTAAGTACTAAGTTACAGTTGGATAAGAGAAAGACGTTTTGGCTGGGCACAGTAGTATGCTGGGAGGCTAAGGCAGGAGGATCACAAGGTTGAGACCAGCCTCATCAATTTTGCAAGACCCTGTCTCAAAATAAAAAAATAAAATAAAAAGGGCTGAGGATGTAGTTCAGTGAAAAACTAACCCTGGGATAACAATAATGTACCTTTTTTTTCAAAACCTAGAAGAAAGGATATTGAATGTTTTCACAATTACTAAATGATATATATTTGAGAAGTTAGATATGTTTAACATGATTTAAACATTACACAATGTATATATATATCAAAACATCACATGGTATATGTATAATTTTTATTTTTGTATAATTTTTATATATGAGGTAATTTCTAAAAAGATGTAAAGGTTTTCTTGTCAGAGACAGGAGAACATCTGAGTCCAGAAAGGGCCTTTGCAGTGGTAACTTTGTACTATAGATTTGTAAGATGTTACCTTGGGGTAAAAAGTGGGCAAAGGGCCTACTATCTCTTACAATTGCCTGTGAATCTATAGTTATCTTAAAAGAAAAATCTTTAATTTAAAAAGTGTTTTCAGAAAGTATTCTAAACCACATATCCATAAAAGTATTATATTCTAGTCACTACTAACCTACAATAATCCCTGGCTGGAAGACACTTAGGCCAGTTTTCTTCTTAAACCACTGTTCTGACAATGTGGATGAGACCTGGATTTTTACCTCTTTTATGTTGTTTCTATTCCAAACTCCTTTTCTTTTTGAATAGCAAATTTCAATGCAATTAACTGGGGGCAAAAATCAGTCTGGCTGTTGTCCAAAAGAAAATCATGCCTGCTTTCATGTTTTAGCTTTCCACTCCTTGCCTCCTTTTCCTTCCTCACATCGCATGAGCATGCACACGTGCATACACACACACACACACACACACACACACACACACACACACACCCCACTTTGTCCAGTGGCATAACGACCAATTTATGTAAAATTATGACCTGGAAGTAAAACAAAAATGGTTTCAGGTTTTTACAAAGGAGACATATTTGAACCACTGCTTCCTCTTCCTATTCACTTCATAAAACTTGGTAACCTGATGGTTTTCAGCCTACTTAGCCAAATAAACCAATCAGCTGTGTTTCTGTAGAACTGAGGTTTTGATAATTCCCCATAAAATAGGAACAGTCTACTGGATAGACAAAACGTTTTGGGAGCTGCCTTTTTGTTTTACCCCAGTGCAAGAAGTTGAGCCTGCAAAGGATATTCAGAAAGGATTCTCTTATCTTTTTACATTAGGCTGGGCAAAAGAAAATACCAAATTTAAAGAATTTCTCTCTGACTTGAGACAAACTAATGTGCATTAAAATCAATGAAAAGCCCCATCTCTACTCCAGCCCTCCCTCACGTACATTTCATTGCACCTTCCACAGCCATTCAGTCAACATGAATTTATTGGGTGCATGCTATGCACCAGGTATATATTTTCATTACTACAGATGATATTTATTATTCAAATCATATCCCATAATATCTATCCACTTTAGAACAAAGAAAAATATTTACTTATAATAAAGTGGAACCATCTGGCCATTTTATTCTACCATTCCCAAATGTTTGTAACTCCTTTGAAAATCAATAACTATCTCAAGGTCCTGCATTCTATACATAACCTCTTTTGCTAAAAGAAGTCCTAGATGAAGTCTTTCCCTATCATAAACAGTTTAGAAAAATATTAAATCTGAAAGACCAGAGATGAGGTTTGTGTACAGCATAAAATGAAGTCAAGAAGAAAGGCTAATTAATAGCATTACCAGAACAACCAGTAAGGTGATCACAGTGCTTACCATGAACCCTAATAATTTCAGGTGACTGGGCCATAAATTTGGTTTGGAATGACATCTGATTGACAGCCACTACTTTAGCTACTCAGCTTCCTACCACAATAACAAAAATTCAGGGCTGAGATAAAGAGGGCATTCACACAGAAAACTGAGACTGATCCCATTTCCTGCCATGATCTGGAAGACATCTTACTGTTATGGTTTAGATATGAGGTATCCTACAAAATGTCACATGTGATACAATGCAAAAGCGCTTAAAGTGAAATGATTGGGTTATGAGAGTCTTAACCTAATCACACTTAGTCTTAATGTAATCAGTGCATTGAACCCCTGAAAGGGATTAAGTGAGTGGTAACTATAGACAGGTAGGGTATGGCTGGAAGAGGTGGGTCATTGGGGGCATATCTTCAGGGTTTATATTTTGTTGTGATGAGAGCTCTCTCCCCTTGCCCCTGCTTCATGAGCCATGTCCTAAGCTGCTTTCCTCCTCCACATTTTTTTTTCACCATGATGTCCTGTCTTGCCTTGGGCCCAGAGTGATACAGCTGGCCATCTAATGACTAAGACCTCTGAAATTATGATCCCACCCCACAAGTTTCCTCCTCTAAAATTGTTCTTGTTAGGTCTTTTGGTCATGATCGTGAAAAAGCTGACTAAAATGCTCACTATAAAACAAATACAATTGGATGGAGAAAAGCTTCCTCAAGATCTATATTAAATGGCAAATGGGGAAGCCCACCCTGTCCTGTGGGATGCTGCTGTTTTGAGATATCTAGAGGATCGTTCTCCACTCCTGCCATAGTCCTTCAATATTCACTCAGAAACATCAGTGTCTAGTAAACAATATCACTGGAGAAAAATGCAAATAGAAAGTATTTAATCTCACTGCTCAGGCTTTGGGTTGAATGTTGGCAAGCAGGGGGCATGTAAATTAGATGTGATCCATGTGATGACCAGGAAGCACAGACTCAGCAACACTGTGATGTTTGTATTGGTCATTTGATTACAAAAATTCTGGACCCTTTCCTCACACCCTCACTATCCTCAGGTGTGCTCTATAATTCCCTAGGCTCCTATCTTACCTCCAATGCTTGCTGAGAACTGGTTCCTAAGGCTTTAGAAAATTAAATTTTATGCATTACAAAACTAATTCATGCTTATGGAAAAAGCATCAAATAATATAGAAGACAAAGTAAAAAGATAAATTTTACCAAGCCTCCCATTCTTCCTGTTCATTTCTACACTTCTATGATTACCATTTTTAACATGTTGGTATGTGGTCTTCCAAATCTTTTTTCTTTTCTTTTTTTTAATTTGTTCCTTTTAGATATACATAACAGTACAGTGTATTTTGACATATTATAAATACATGGAGTATAACATAAATTCTGATTAGAATCCCTTTCTTGTGGTTATACATGATGTGGTGCTTCACTGGTGTCCAGATCTTTTTTACATTCATTTATATACATGCACACACAATTTTTATGTAAGGAAAGCACCTTGTTTTGTTAGATAATATATCTCGGAGTTATCTCCCCTTGACTATATTTATATATACTGCATATACCCATAGATTCAGTGTATTTAACCACACTATTATTAATAGATGTTTAAGTTATCTCCGTTCTTTTTTTATGAAAACAATGCTGAAATGAATGTCCCTGTACACTTTATGAATAGGGTGCAGTGAACACATTTATGTAAGTCCCTTCTGAATCAGAACATCTCCTTTTCAGACACTAAGAACTTAGAAGTGTTAACTCTTCTTACACATACATTTTTGTAAAGGGGTTCTATTTTGTTAATTATTTCAAAATACTACAACGGAACAAAAGATAATATTACTGTATGTAGAAAGATGTTTACTTGTGTGGTTTATTCTAAGATTAGCAGTGATAGCAGAAATGAGATGCTATGGGGTGAAGGGAGGAGAAGCTGGCCCTCATCTTTCCTTTATTTTAACCATCTGATTGAGAGCCTTAAGGCTTATGGGAAGATTTATATGAACAAGTCCAAATTGATCCAAAAAATCCCATCGAAAGGATGGAATGGACTACTTTACAATCACACAGAAGACGCTCATTGTTGAGGATGGGGTAATGACTTGCCTTCTTTACAGGGGACATAAGATTTGGAGAATCATCCTGAAAGGGTATAAACTTCTGATATAGATGAAGGGCTGTGGTTTCTTTGTGTTTGTATCCTGGCCTCAGTTAACAATTATACAGTGTACCTAAATGGTTATAGGTTGGTGATGATGTCATGCTAATTTCTGAGGAAAAAGAAGAAAACTGGTGTTAAAAAAGGACCCTTTTTTTGGATTGCTGGGATAGTAGCCACAAGGAAAGGAAAGCTTGGCTGTGGAGTATTGAATTATTTGAGCTATTCACACTTACTGCTTCTCTGTTGGCAGGTTGCCGGAAGATATCACCATCAGAATGTTCCCACGACAATTCTCCATCCCCTGTTTATTAAAAAGGAATAAAGAAAAATAATACATACATAGAAGGGAAAACTATCACCCTTGTGACCCCAAAACATTTTTGGTAGTATGATTCCAAAGTTCTCAAGACGTTTTAGTTCTTGTGGCTACTCTTCAAGAAACAGTACTGAAGGATTTCTCTGGGTGTGCCTCATGGTTCAAAACAACTCTGAAGAAAGCTGCCACTTTCTAAATAGATCATCTAGCAATATTATCGTGAGTTTGGAAAATAAAAGGGAAAATAATCACTTTCCATGTAATATAACCAGCATTGTCACTTTTGCTTATTATTCCAGTGACAGTTTAGCATTTTACAGGTCATATTTAATTTGTGTTTAAACTAGCCTTACACAATGAGTTTTCAGAATTTGGTCTGCCTTGATTTGTTCAGTTCACTATTATGTCTCTGAGAAGGTATATGCTTATTTGAAAGTTAAGATAAAACTTGCTGTGATTACAGTATTTACATAACAAATATCCAGAATGCTCTCATCTATTTCTGCCTGACACAATTTTCTGTAGGTCTAATATGGCCCAGTTTTTGAACAGCAAATGCCTATCATTGCTGTCTTCCAGAGTAAGTGCTTTTAACAGGAGGATTCTACTTTAAGCATTGAGAGCAACAAACATGCAACAGATATGAATATTCCTTAGCTGACTGAAGGTCAAAATAATAGGTTAATTTCCAAGAACCTTGTTTTATCTATAACCAAACAAACAGATGGGAAATGGTCTTAGAGATGGTCTTACAGATCTTTTCACCACTCTAAATAAGTACTATATAAATTATACATATGGCTGAAGTTAAACACAATATTCAATCAGATATTTTGTGGGATAACAAGAAATATGCAAAAGTATAATTTAAATTTTTCTTTTCTAATTAATCTCTCAAGCCTTTAAAAACCTAAAACTAAATATTATTTAGTTAATGGTTCAATCATTGTTCAATAAACTGTTAGGGAAATTTATGCAATATCATTGGCTTTAAAGGACTTGAAAAATACCTGAAAATTAGTTTGATGGCAATAATATTATCAAGTAGTCTCTTGTTACAAAGTATGGATTTAACCCTTCATAATTCAAAGATAATCTTATGGAAAAAATGATGAATTTTGAAGACTTAATTGTGATTGCTAATCTTCCTAAAACACAGCTTTGATTGTATAATCATATCATTCTCTGATCAAAACCCTAAGTGAGTCCCCATCCAAGACTCTCTACAATCAGCCCCTACTTCATCTTTATTGAATACCTACCTTCTATCCAATTATCTCAGCTACTCTACAATGGGAACCATCTGACCTCGTTGTTTCTCATTAAATATGTGACTCCCTCTCTTGCTTCTATGCTTTAGCTCATGTTCTTTTCCCACCCCTCCTCCTTTTATTTCTTTTAACAAAATATTGTTAGTTATATATGGACACAATATTTTTATTTTGTTTATTTTTATGTGGTGTGAGGATCGAACCCAGGGCCTCACATGTGTGAGGCAAGCGTTCTACCACTACCTAGAGCCACAAACCTAGACCTTTTCATTCTTTTTTTGAGACAAAGTCTCACCATGTTGCCCAGACAAACTCCTGGACTCAAGTGTTCCTCCCATTTTACTCTCCTGAGTAGCTGGGACTACAGGTGTGCACCACCTTACCCAGCTTATATTCTTCTTTTGAAATTACCTTACTATCTCCCAATCCCCATAGCTCCTCTATGCCTATGAAAAGCAGTTAGGATTTTCCTCCTCTACAAAGTTGTCCTCAGACACACATGTATTTCTGACTGCTTAAAAAACTTAGTGTTATGTAGCCTTAGAAATGTAGAAGATTTCAAGCATGACTTTGTTCAACTGCTCCAATTAACAGATGGAAAAACCAAGGCTCAGAGAGGAGAAGTAGCCATTTACAATCAAATCTTTAACAGTACCTGACACATAGTAAACAGTCAATACTTGGCAAATGATTAAATTGGGAGGCTTTTCTGATCAACCTAATAAAATTCAAACCCCCATCTGATTTTTAAAAATTCCTTCTTATTGCTCTTTCTCTTTAGAACTTGTCACTATCTTACATTTTACATATGTTATTGTTTATTGTTCTTTTGTGACACTATAATCTTCATGACAACAAGGAATTTGGTCTGTATTTTTTATTGATATAATAAAAGTACCTTGAACAGTGATGGGCACATAGTTGATACTTATTCAATATTTGTTGAATGAATGAATTCTAAAACATTATAAATATTTTGTGCTACTAAATGTTTACCAGGTCTGCCTTATCTCCCTGAGTAGAGTATAAATTCCTTGAAATGAAAGACCATGTTTTAGAACATCTCTATATCCCCTCAATCACTACTTCTTGAAGGATGGTCCCTACATGACCACATCAATGTTTATAGAAGCTCAATTCACAATAGCTAAGCTATGGAACAAACCTAGGCATCTTTCAACAGATGAATGGATAAAGAAAATGTGGTATACATACCCAGTGAAATATTACTCAGCTATAAAGAAGAATAAAATTTTGGCATTTGCTGGTAAATGGATAAAACAAGAGACTATCATGCTAAGTGAAATAAGCCAGTCCCCCACCCCCAAAAAGATCAAATGTTGTCTCTAATATGTGGATGCTAATACACAATAAGGCTGGAGAAGTATAGAAGGTTCTTGCATTTGACAAAAGGGGAAATGAAGGAAAGGGACGGGGGATGGAAATAGGAAAGACAGTAGAATGTCGGACATAATTTCCTATGTTCATATATGAATAACCAAGCAGTGTAACTCCACATCATGTACAACCAAAATAATTGGAAGTTTTACTGCATGTATATATGTCAAAATACACTATACTGCCATGTATAAATAAAAAGAGCAAATAAAAAAAGTGTGGTCCCTAGACCAGAGCATAAACATCACTTGGAAATTTGTTAAAAATGTAAATTTTGGACCCCACAATACTGTATCAGAAACTCTGGGGTGGAGCCAGTGATTCGGTTTTTGATAAGCTCTCCAGGGGATTCTGATGCATGCAGGAGTTTGAACATAACTGTACTGGAGAATTGGCATATTGCTGGGTACATATCAGGTTCTCAATGTATGTACTGAATTAAACTGCAGTCAAAAAAATAAAAAAAGAATTAAGTTTCTGGGTAGTCCACTCTCCTCTTCCTGGTTATTCCATATCTGAGGCAGACAAAGACTGCATGAAGACGTAGGAGAAATCTTGACTGTCCACTGTAAGAGTGAAGATTACAACCTTTGGTTGTAACTAGGAAATGATGCTCACGAGTCCGTTAACATTCATTAAATGCCATGTATTTGGAACGCCTGATATTGGCAGGAGGAGGACAGAAATCAGGTTGGGCTCTTGCACTCAAGATATGTACACCATGATTGGAGGTGACAGGAAACCAATATAGGAAACAGCCTCAAAACACAGGCAGATCATCAACTGGAAATACAATTGGAATATGCATGCTTAGGAAATACTGAATAGGAAGATAAGCAGTCCGATATAATTGCAGAAATCTTCCTAACAGATCTAAGCCCCATTGTTAGAAGTAGATGTTGCAGAGCATAAATGGACAGCAATGTTGGGCAGAAAGTATGTCTTCTGAATAGAATGACATTTGCAAAGAATCAGAGCTTTGGAAATAGAAGTCATATACTGGAGGTAGAAGGCAAGTTGTGGCTTGAGCAGAAACTAGATGTGAAAACAAGAGAAATGGGCTGTTAACTGCATGGGACAGAGAATGCAGGGAGAAGGAAGGAGAGAATGGGGTGGGCTGTTGAGATAAACAGGGGTAGTAAAAATCACCACATGGATTTCAAAAATAAGCTCAAGAATTCACGTTTGCTCCTGTTATCAATTTTTAGGTAGGGATTCTTATGGTAAAAATGGAGTTTGTGGAAGCTTCTTCTGGCAATGAAATGTAGACTAGTCAGGGAGCAAGTGTAATCTGGAAAGCCAATCAGGAGGCTGCCACAGTAATAGGTAATAGGCCATGAGCATCTCCACAATAATAGAGAGGAAGGGTTGATTCAAACTACTGCAGATAAGAAAAGAATAAGAACCTGATGGAGGATCTGATCACAGAGGAGAAAGGCAGAAAAGAAAACAGTATAAAATGACTCTGGGGTTGCAAATCTGGAAAGCTGGAAACTACCCTTGACAGTGATTGAGTAGGGATAAACTTAGATTTACTTGTCCCATTTTAGCTGGCAGTGGTGGGTCTGAGCCAAATGAAAATAGACTAGAGAAAAGATTAGAAACCAGGAAAGATTTAGCAGCAAATGGCAAAATGAAATGTAAAAGCTATAGGATGTGGCTTCAAGCCTAATCTAAGTAGCTAAAAGAAAGAAAACAAATTACCAAAGAAAAATCATACAATAGCTCTCTTCATCAAATGCCCTTTTTAAGTGTAGATTTCATGATTGGTATTGACACAAAATGTTTACATAGCATGGCCTTCTCAGAAGTTCAATTTAGTACATTTAGACAATGGAGTTTTTAAAAGGACTTTTAAGTTAAATAGTGTCTTTAAGTACTTATAATCTAGTCAGAATGTTGAAGCATTGTGGACACATATAGTGCCTGTTACTAATTAACAGGAAGGTAAGATGGCAAAGCAATTAGGCAAGTCAGTATCAAGTATGGAAGCAGAAGATTAATACCCTGAAATGAAGGGAAGGGATAGGGAGGGGAATAGGAAAGACAGTAGAATTAATTGAACATAACTTTCCTAGCCTTGCATTTGAATACATGACCAGGGTAACTCTGTATCATATTCATCCACAAGAGTGGGATCCTAAATAGAATAAGTTATACTCTATGTATGTATAATTTGCCAAAATACATTATCCTGTCATTTATAACTAAAAAGAACAAATACAAAAATGAAAAATAAGATTAATACCCTGTGGCACAATTCAGATGAATTTGTTACAATCTGTATTTGAAAACCTGAGCACTTTTATATAAACT